GAGATCGAGGATGGGAGGTCCATTTTTCCATACCATTTATAGTTAACGAGATTCTCTATTAAAACATCGAAATTTGCTCACCCTGTACAATTATTCTTCTTCTTTTTTAAATGACAGTTTGGATTTAATCCAGAAGCATTCGTGGTTATCACGGACGTGACTCGTACTTGTGTCTTTATCAGTCATGAACTAATTTAAAATTATATTTATGGATCAGTTTTTATTGGTATATTTTGATTTTTCTAGACCGACAACATTTTTAAATTGTTGATAGTATGGTAAGTAATGATACACAAAAAATGTTTCCAAAATAGGTCTTGAAAAAATATCATGTATGTAGGATCGTCCAATTCCTCTTCTTTTTTGCTCGAAACTCTGTCTTTGTCAGTCATTGCCTATTTAAGAAACATTTTTGTAGATTATAATTATGCAATTTTACATTCATAGGTCATGTACCTACTACGTACGTAAGTACTTACTAGATTGTTGAAGTGGTGCTATGAACGCATCTATGAACGTAAACGTATACGTGAAAATTCTCACAGAAGTTAAAAAGTGAAGTTCGGAAAACATCACACTAGCACTTTTACGGTACTTACCCTGAAAGTTGCTCTGAAACTTTCTATAGATGTTATAATGTGAATTCATTCTACAGCATTATACAGTGTGTCCACGGATGGACTTAACAATACTTGTAAAAATATTTATTTTAAATTTGAAAGTACTTCTTCATAATTTCTTTTGCTTGTTAAATAAATACGATTAACGTTGAGAAATTATGAAAAATACCTTTTGAAAAATTTAAAATAAATATCTTTACAAGTATAGTTATGTCCATCCTTGGATACACTATATTCAAAATAGTATATTGAGGATATAGTAAAATCTGAAGAAAACAAAATAAAAAATTGTATAAATTTATTATTAAAAAGCTTTTGAAATCAAGAACCAATATCATACAAGTAGAGGTAGGTATTAATAATATAGGTAAAAAAAACACTGACAAATTGGACAAAAGTTGGTATAAAGGGTATATAAGGAATATCTCAAAGGTTCACTAGAATCGAAAACACTGAACGCTTGCACGAAAGAGTATAATAAGGTACCTATATTGCAAAGGTTCACTGGTAGCTAAAATGGTGCATGATTGTACAAAAGTAGTAAAAAGTGTATTTATATAAGGTATATTTCAAAAGTCACTAGGTTTTTATTAAGATGGCAGTTGTAGGATGCTAAAAAAAGATATTTGCCTACAACTGGTACTAATCATAGTTTTAATATGATATAAACTGAATATTGATAAATGTAAAGTCATAAGGTTTAATAAAACAGCTAATATCATTATGCATGATTGTCCTTTCAGGTTCTGAACTAAGTTTTGAGCAAACTATAAATGATCTTGATGTTATTTTTGAGAGGGACCTATAAGAGTTTGGAATGCAGATGTTGAGAAGCATCATTTGTTTTCCTGTATAAGTTATTGAACGGTTTGATTGATAGTGACAGCCTGGTACACTTTATTAGATTCCTTGTTCCTGCCAGACTTACTAGGCATATGAAACTATTTTATGTAAATGCTCATAGAACTAACTATGGACAGAATTTATTTGTAGACCAACTGATGTCCAATTACAATAAGTATTTTTCAAATTATGACATTTTAAAAGGTTTATTTTTTAAAGTGTCAACTTTTATTACACTATTGACTTCATTTTTATACTGTGACAATTTTATTAATTTCTTTTTTATTTTATTTTGATATTTTAACCATTTAGAACTTTATATATCAGTAGCGTACTGTAAACAAATAAATATGTGAACTTAATTACATAGTTTCTTCCGTAAAAATAACTTTGTAGATAATAAATTTACTTGTTTAATTATTATTAAGAAAATAATATATATATATAAAGAAAATAAAAAATATGCTCGTTTAAATCGTTGCACCTATTTTTAGTTGATTTTTACTTACTTTGTTTTTTTAAATAAATAATAACATTTATTTTGACTTTTACAAATTTGATACTTAATAATGGATGTTCAACTTATACAGAACAATGTTTTTTAGCATGATATTCTGCTATGAAAGAAAAAGAAATAATCTCAGATGTTATATATTCTTCTTCAACCAATTCTGTATTAACTTTTGCTTCTAAAATTCCTGAGATTTTTACTAGAATTATAATCCAGCACAAAGGAAACCTAAAACACAATATTTTTAAAATTTATTTTTAGTGATTAAAATATTATTACACTATTTTTAAAGTTTGTCCAGCAATTGGTATTGTGCAGCAAACGTACAGCAAAATGGCATAGGTATATATATCCAGTGAAATGCTGTATTTATCCACCAAAACGTCACTACTGTCCAGCAATGGTAATACTTAATTTACTGAAACGTAACAAATTTAAATGTTATTTATCTTTAGTGAACTACATGAGCACTTCTATACTGCTGTTCTAGCAAGAAAGGTTTTATCTGCAAAATTAGCAGTTTTTTTTATGTGTATTTGTCTACATTTTATCTTTCTCGATACTGAAAAGGAATGTCTTATTTGTAACAAAGGTACTAAAATGTTAAAAAGTTACACAAAAAAAGGTTTAAAAGATAATAAATATAAATTTTCAGATAGGACTTCTCTTGTTAGGATGGCAGTATATGACTTCTCTGTTTTTGTATTTTTATAATTGGGAGTAGGGTTGAGTATTGGTCAAAGGTATCAATACCGGTATCATGTGAGATACTTTGTGGTAGAGGCATCGATACTGTTCCATATTATGTTAAAGATATTGATATTTATAAGTCTCGAGTAACAAAGTATTGAAAAAGTAAAAGATTTTTGTTAAACGGCTGGCAACCCCCATTCAACAGGACGGAGTAGGCAACTTAACTAATAACAAGAGTGCATCAGTAAAGTATATTCTGTAGTCGACACCTTTTCTTTCTCTACTGGTACTCTACCTGGTACAAGTTATAGTGTCAATAACTGGCAATTTACCTTATAATTAAATAACAAAAAAACAGTGGTAACGCTTAATCATATTACCAAGTTTCACCACATGCAAAAACTAAAATATTTCAGTACAAATATTTGAACAAACCTTATAATCTCTGACCACACACATAGCGATACAATACTTGCTTCTAAGTATCACTATGGCGATAGTATTGGTAATTCAGTGCCTAAATATCGATACTTTCATTGTTTAATATCGTTACTTCTATAGTATTAAGGCATCAATAAGATCCCTATTATCCTGTAAAATAAATATAAGCAGTCATTTAATTGTATCTACTTGTTTACAATGATTTATTTTTTATTGTATTTGGAAATTGAAATTTTACCATCTAAAACAACAGACAATAAATTAGAAAATTAGAAAATTTATTGAAAAGAAGAAAACAACTTACCAAACTTATTCAAACGTATAGTTTCCAATTTCTTTAAAATCTGAAATACGTACAAGAAAAAGTGACAAGTGACATTTTTTTATGTTTTGTTGGTTATGACAAACGAATGGCTACGTTCGAAAGTCCATAGTACTTCTCGTGGAAACTTTTTTAGCAAGTTACTTAATTACGTTGTGTTATCATAACAGGCAGGTTAAATACGTAAGTAACAAATAGATGTTTCGCGAGGTTTTGATTTCCCTCAACAACTTCTCATTAACGTTGCAATTACGTTGTATGGGTATGTTATTAAGTTCCCTTAAAACAACATCGCCGAAAGGCTTGGTAACGTTATGTGCTAGCTGGGTACCGTATGCAGATTAAGAAGCGGTCATTGTTTAAGTATGGTGCATCTAAAGAAAATAGGTGTAAAAGAAAATGATAGGTGTACGTGTGGAAAACTGGAGGATTTACAACATATTTTTTTTAATTGTCAAAATAATTTTTATAATATTTATACATTTTTAGATAGTTTAGATATTCCATTTATAAAACCTGTTACACTTTTTGATGTATTGTTTAAACTTCTGCCTATCAAAATTAATTTATACAAATGTCTAAAATTAAGCTGTAAAATATTGTAATTCTTTACCTGTTGTTACCAAATGGCTGTATCATCTTAGCTATGTAGGCCAATAAATTATAAAAAAAAAAAAAAAAAAAAAAAAAAAAAAAAAAAAAAAAAAAAAAAAAAAAAAAAAAAAAAAAAAAAAAACTTCAACGTAAACATTATATTTCTGCGTTGACGTTTACGTTCATGTACTGGAAATACTTCAACACTCACTACACTATACCGGTACGGTAATTTTAACGTGTACCCATCCAAGCCAAATCAATTAAAGACGAGCACAAGTGGGAGTGTGGTGAAAGTCGTACCTATCGTGCACCAGGAGCTCTTCTCCGATCAGTGTTCTTTATCTTTCACGCACGGTCCTATTATAACATTGTCAAAGAGATGGTCCTTGTTTAAATTTCCATGTTTATATAAATACGTACGCATTGTGACTTAAATGTAAATTGATTTTTAACCAGTTCGGAAATGTAATTTTTAAATAATAAATATAATAATTACTTTTAAAATAATGAACTGTGTTTTGAAAAACTGGGATTATTTATAATCGAAGTCCGTTAGACGAAGCATAGTTGTCATTTATTATCATTCTTGTTTTTAAACAAATTTAATGTCACAGTCAATCGTCTTAATATAATTAGTGTAAACTATTTAGGTATCTACGTATTAGAAATTACCCATTTTTATGAAACTTGAATTTAAAGAGGTTTTTTTTAATAATATGGTACTTGAAGATATTTTTAGATGCAATATACCAAGAATAAGGTCCACTATAGAGAAAATAATGTTCATTTTTAATTTTATAAAAAAAATTCTGCTTATTTTAACCCCAATAGTGAACATTTTAGAACTAACTTTCTATACAAATTTTCATGCTTGTTTACAAAAATAATTATTGGCAATAACTATAAGAGGATACTTTTATACTCATTGCCAAATCAAGATAATTTTTTTAAATTAGATAGTGCGAAATTATCTAGAGAAAATTTCTTTAGGTTGGCAACACTTTCAACTATTGCACCGGGTGTTCCATTAAAAGAGATAGACTGCTATATTTCAGAAACTTGAGGAAAACATAGTTTTAATAAAAAGTTTGTAGGATGGCCGCTACGTAGCGTAATTGTGACGTCAAAACAAAAAAATGTAATTTTCTCAAAAAAATACAAAGTAAAATATATTAATAAATATTACTATTTTAATCTTCAATATTTTCTGAACAAAAAAGCTTAAGGTGTATTTTTTGTCATTTGTGAAATAGAGTGGTGGAAAATGTTAAACTTTAATTTGGAAAAATGCTCATAACTCCGGTTTGTCTTTACCGAATTTACTGAACTTGGTTTCGTTTAGAAGAATTTTTTTAGCCTTATTTTAAGCTATATAAACTGTGCCTACTTACGTTTTACGAACGCCGCTAGAGGGCTTTAATTTAAGGTTTATATTACCCTACAAAAGTTACGTTTGGCAAACGCGAGATAGAGTCACGTTAGTACAAATATGATCTAAAATTAGCGATAATCGATGTAGTTGTCTGTAGATACAAATATTGCTTATTACAGTTGATACGTCAAACAAAAGAGGGCAACATTTTATATAGATATTGCAGAGGCCACGTACTTTGATTTTCTCTTGCTATTCGCTCCGTGCAAAGTCATGGAAAGGGAAGCAAAAGCGATACTAGCGCTAGCTGCGGATAATTCGTGCATTTTAGGGGGATATTTTGTAATTTTGGCATATCAAATACACGTATACATTTTACTTTTTTCAAAAAAGTAGGTAAAAACAACACAATAAGCAACAGGAGTTGCTGTGTTGAAAATTGTACAAATACTAGCAAAAAAAAACAGTGAAACTTATATAACAAATTTCACTAACAAAGTGGAAATTAAATCAAAGAAATAAATGGATAGGTGTACAATAAGAAGAAAAATTACCTTTATTTTTGTGATAATAACAGTAATGCTGGAAATAGTAGACATCAGAAACTAGAAAGTTTTTAAATAAACAATAAATTATCATTTTACGATGTTCTTTAATATCCCTTTATTCTTAAATGTTTATTCAGCAAGGACTAGATTTCAAGATTTCTGCCGTTGATTATAATATTTGGCTGGTATGCAATTTTGTGACTTACTGACCGAGAACCAGTTTTAATCATTCATTCTATGTTTTCTTTAGAACAAAAATGAAAATATAAGTAGCGATCCTTTTTATACATTTTAACTTCACGCTATTATAAATGGTTTCTTCAATGACAACTTATTAGACTTAGGCAACTTCTCATACATTTTCCAGTAAATACTGTTGCCTGCCTATATTTTATTATTGATTTTTAATGATTATACATAATTTTCTTCAATTTAAGCGTGGAAAATATATAATAATAATAAATTAATGTTTTAATTGTTTTATAAATCCATATACTTTTATTAAAACTAACATATATACTTTTTATTTACGAATTCTATTAAAAATTGTATTTGTCAGTATAGGCAGAAATACTCCTTTAATACCAAAACAAATCGGCGCTGCTGTCGCGCACGGAGCGAATACGGAGAATGGTCGCACTGCGCAGCTTTCTGAGTGCCTTTTGTGGTGCGTTTGATTTGATCATCGGAGATCTCCGAGCGCTGCAATCGTGTTTGAATTGACACTCCGAGAGATCCATAAAGTGTTTGTTTTGTCTTGGAGCGAGAACATGGAGCGAGCTCGATGTTCTCAGAGCAGAAGGATCGAGAAGAGGGAGAAATTTGTCTTTGTCTCTACCTATCTCTTTTTAATCAACTTACAAGTAAATTTGAATCTCAAAATTAAAGACCAGACAAGAAGTCAACAAATTACTTAACCGCTTTTGTCTTATAGCTGAAATTATTCGTCATAAAAAACACAAAATGTGTTTGGAAAATACATTTTCTCTGTCCAGATCTAATCACCAGTAATCACAGTCATGGAGTATGAGAGCGAAGCAGGCATTTATGGTATATGCTGCATTTCAGGGCTATTACCACTTTTTATTAAAAGTTTTTCCATTTTCTTTACTTTTTGCTCACTATTTTGACACACAAACCAGAAACAAGAATTACAGAAATGCGAGGTTATGTTTTTTACTCTGTTTTATTTGATTTGATTCAATGCTCTGTTGTGACGTCATCACCACTTGGTCTCCTCGACGCTCGCTCGATCGAGTTTCAAATCAAAGGCCCCTTTGAAAGGAAATAGAAAACTCCGCCATTTTGATCCCTTATTACGTGTTGCCTACATCTTGGCGCAATATTTTTAATAGGTGCGTTTTAATCATCCGCTTCTGCTTCGGAATTGTCGGTTTTCTTGTTTTAATTTGACAGGTTAAAACGACTAAACCGACAATTCCGGAAACAGAAGCGGATGATTAAAACGCACCTGATATTTTGCTTGCTGCTGTCAGTGTCAGTCAATATTATTTTTGGAGTCGCAGTTTATTGCTAATGAATCAGTTAGCTCACTCGGACCAGTTGAAAGTTCCAAAATAACATCCACTCCAGGGATACAAATTCAGGATATGCAGAAGACTGCTGTTTTATTATAGGCGGTTGTCATTATATCCTAGTTGCGCAGTGTATAAACTGGAACATTGAGATCAAAAGTGCTGACGCAGAGTGAACGAACTGATTCTTTAGCTATAAACTCTGGTAAAGGCTTTAAAATGGCCGCGCCTATGTTGGGCGTGTCAGACCTCTCTCTTGCACCGTATAGTAATCAAAGTATGTGGCAGAAGCGGAACAATATACGTTGTTGCCAAATATATACTGTTCCAGTTTAATTAAGTATTATTAAGCGGCGGAGAGATAAAATCACTTAGTTTAGATACTGAGACGTAAAGACGTATAGATACTGATATTCTTAAAATAAATAGGTACGACGTCCAAGTGAATGATGTAAACATTTTTTATGCTACTATTGATTAGTCGTTTGTCGAACAAAATTTTATTAATTTTGGGTATTCAGAATGTTTGCCATACAGATTAAGCAGTTGTCGTCGGTTGAGATGCTGTTTCAGTAGCAGTTGAAACTGTATCACTTGGTTCTCTGATGGCCAAACAAGGCATGCGTTTTTGCAGTTCAAGCCTAAAATTACAAAAAAAATTATAAATTAACAGGTTTGTCTCGTACATTTTGAAATATTACGAATATCTACTGCAATTTGCATTTAGAAGTTTTGCAATAATTTTATCTTTAGAAGATAAGATAAAAATGACTTGAACAACAAATAAATATTACACAATTAAAACTAAACAACACATTTATTTAAAAAATGGTAAAAATTATCTAAAGAATGTTTTCGGGGTGTATAAAATACGCGTTTATTTGGATTACCGTATCCACAATACTTTTTAAACCATCTTTTAAATACCGTGACAGTTCAATCGTTTTAAGTACATGCAAACTACCACTAGTGGAACTGAAATTTAGTTTAATATTGTTATGCAAGCCATTTCATTATTCAGTCATGCTCTAATCCTCCAAGTCCCTTTCTGTCTTATTTGGCCTTTGAGGCTCAACTTGTACGATTATCATACATAATTAAACCCCTTAAGACCAAACATATGTGACGAGTATGGCGAAGGCGCTTTCGAGTACATTCCAGATAGAACATGATAATGTTTCTAGTTTTGGCGAGAACGTTCTAGACCATCACCAGAATTTTAAATGTGTATATAAATATTGGTGAAAACACGGAGCGGTCAGTCGTATACAAACAGTTGTGAAAATAAATAGTGAACAAATTCAAGACATTCGAAATATATTTATATAAATTAAAATAGTTTTAAAATAAATAAGTGTTCAAATAAATTATTAACAAATAAACTGTTTTTCAAAATAAACGAACGTAACATTGGTGTCTCTGGTAGTACTAGTTCAGAAAAAGGATGGAACTACGAGGTTCTGTGTCTTACCAAGAAAGACAGTTATTCTCTGGCCCGAATTAACGATACTGTAATGAAGGAAACCTTCTAAAATAAGGCTTTATTTAGCGAAACTTGACATACAAAATAACATAATAATAATAATAATATACATCAAACCTTAGACACAAAGTTCATAGAGTAAACTCTTTAGGCAAATTCACTACATTAGTTCACTACAGTCACCCTGGCCTAAAAAGTACACACTAGAAACAAAAATGAGCTGGCCAATTGCGACTCAGGCAGAGGCCAAAATAAAGAAAAAGAAGAAGACAGTGGTTATGGTTAAATCTTAGAATATATCTTAGGGTCTATTTATACTCCCTTATTATTAGTATTTGCATTAGTATTATGATTAAGCATTAAGTTGAACCTTCACAATGTAATGGGGACATTTATACTCGATTTATGATTAGTATTAGCATTAATATTTATGCTTAATAATTGACAGGTTCAACTTTTAAATTAAATATTAAATTTCTTCTTTTCTATAAAATGAATCAATAACGTATTTGGCCTTTGTTTTTAATAGACAAAGGATAGGGATAATTGACAATACACATATGATTATGTTGTTTATATGTTTGTTCCAACAAGCTCGAAAACGATAATATTTTGGTACAAATCATGCGCTGTATACAATTTTTGTGTATCAGCAGTGTTTACCGATTATAAAGTTGACAAATGACATGTCACCACGAGGAAGCAAAGGCCTCTTTTCTGTCTGATTTGTATCAAATTTCTGCTTCTTTTTATTTGTTATAAATTTGAGACTGAAATCCGTTAAAATGTCCTTAATTAAACCTATTTTTGAATAATAATATTTTTAAATAAAATTAACTAGTAAAAATATTAATAAAAATACATTTAAAACTCAAATATCTTAAAAGAACGCAACTCTGGCCTCTTACATATTTCTTCAGTAACCATATATTTTGTTGACTGCAGAATTATATCTTATTATGTATTAGGTTTAAAAAAGAATTACTAATACTAATTATAAAACGAGTATAAATACCTTTTTTGAATGATTTAACAAATTTAATGCTTAATCATAATACTAATACAAATACTAATACTAAGGGAGTATAAATAGACCCTTAGACTATATATATTCTAAATTAAATAGTTATGGTTGAACACTGGTAATATTTTAAATAATCTGGTGGTCGTCTTGCTCTTACAGGTCTTTCAGTTATCTCACTATTTTTGGTAGAATTACTGGCTTCGCTATTCGTCGATTTTTGAGTATATTCATATTCAGTTGGAACATCAACAACAACAGCCTGAGGATTATTTAAATTTGCAGTTTCGTTAAGATCTTCACTACCGTTGGGAAGCAGGTTCATATTAATATCAATGTTCTGAGGATCCGTTGGTTGTGAATTTGTAGTTTCGTCGTGATCTTCACTATTATTATGATGTAGGAGACTTGTATCTCCGCGTGGTGCTAAATGTTTTATGGATATGGTAGTCTCCCTTCCATCTTTGAACCTTATTGAAGCATAGTCCGGATTAGCTTCTATTAATTCAGCCTCCTCGACTAAGGGATCATATTTTGTATTTCTAACGTTTTTCTTAACTAACACCGGACCAGGAGTGAGTAACCATGATGGTAGAGCATTTCCAAAAGTTGATTTTCGAGTGTGAAAAAACATTCTTTCGTGAGGAGTGCAATTAATAGCCGTGCATAGTAGTGATCGAATAGAATGCAGTGACTGGAACAGAACTGTTTCCCACTGTTGTACATTCATTCCTTTAGATTTCAAAGCCAACAAAATAGTCTTCCAAATAATAGCATTATAACGTTCACATTGACCGTTTCCGGCTGGATTATATGGAGTAGTGCGACTAGTAGCTATACCTCTGGCCTGTAAATATTCCTTTAATTCTGAAGACATAAAAGAACTACCTCTGTCAGATTGTAAACAGTTGTTCGAGACATTTAATAACAGTATTAGAAGTTATATTGGAGCAAGCAAATGCAAAAGGAAAACGAGAATACTCATCCACTATTGTCAGAAGATACTTATTGTGGGTAGGAGATGGTATAGGTCCTTTAAAGTCTATACTTATTCTCTCAAATGGTGAGGTAGCTTTTACTAAATGACTCATTCTGTTTCTAATAAAGTGTGGTTTTATTTCAGCACATACTGGACAAGAACGTATCATTGTTCGAATTTCCTGAAGAGAATATGGCATATTTCGTGATTTGACCCAGTGATACATCCTAGTGATTCCAGGATGGCAAAGTGATGTGTGCAGATCGAATAGAACGTTTCCGCTAGTCGAGCTACATATCCTTGAGAACGTGTCACTGACCGTATTCTTAGCTCCTGGCCTATATATGATATCGTAACTATAACAGGATAACTCTAGACGCCATCTTAGAATCTTTTCATTTTTAATTTTATTATACTCTGTTTTTAAACTAGGAGGAGCGAATTGAAAAGACGCATTTACACAGGGAAAAGTAACTAGATTTGTTACTAAGAGCGAGTTTCGAAATATAGTCGGGTTCAAAATTTATGAAATAATTATCTTTATCGGCCTTAGTCGGCGAACGGCCAATGAGCGGTTAAGAAACGAATAAATGTCATACAAGTCATTTTTTAATTGGTCCCAGACAACGGTCGCAAATTTCACATTATTGTGATCTGAAATGTGTGTCTAAAACGAAATGTCACTGTCAAATTAAAGTCAATATGGTTGTTGATTGATGTCAGAAATACTTTTTTCTTGCTTTTGAAATCGACTTTTTGAGAATAACTATGATCTTTTTAAAATGGATAATAAATATTTAAGAAAATTGTTAATGGAATATCCAGATGTAGCCAGGTTAGTATAAAATATAAAGATCTGTTTACATTTTTAAGGATATATTTGTTATAGGTATAAAAAGTAAAAGTTAATCAGTGAATGACAAGTGGATCACACAGTAACTGATATCTCTTCTATGAGTAATGTGGATATTATGGCTTATAGAGTGTTAACCCATGGTTAACGCGCTAGAGGGCAAATAAAGGCATTCAAAAGTTTACAGGCCTATGAGTCAGAATTTGTTTTGAAAACTGGAACCAACATTTTCATAACACTACATGTCAACATATATTTTTTAAAGTGAACTATTCATACATACCTATGTATTAATTTTAAGTATTTTTAAAATATTTTTTCTACACCCGTATTATAATAATGCACTTATATGCCCAAAATCCGTTTCATAATGATACCCATTATGATACAGATTTTTCATTATGATACAGATTTTTAATCAATAGAAACCTACAATTTTTCAATCAAGCATGATGTTTGACGTTTGTCCTAAATTCCTATGTAATTGTTTTAGTTGTCAAAACGTATTAAATTTTCGTAGATAGCTAAACTTCGATAATTATAATATTAAAATGTCTGATATCAGCGATATAGAACACTCCTCCACACATATAGGAGAAAGGAGAAAATGCAGTACAAAATATTTTGCCCCAAAAATCTGTGGTAATACCAGTACCCAAGGTAATACCATTAATTACAATTTTGTAGAATTTTTTATAGAAATACGAGTAATTACTGTTATTGTGTTCAATACCAATATAAATAGAATATTTATAGGTCTTGATTATTTATCGGGTGTAGAAAAAATAGCGTATGCAACTCTCATGTAATGGTTATTAAAACACTCGCATAAACCATACGAAACTCGCCTTTGGCTCGTTTCGTATCCCGGTTAATGCTCGTGTATTAATAACCATCATTACATGATCGTTGCATAATATACTATTTTGTGAAAGTAATGTTCTCATTGTGTCAAATTAAGATTATTCCTAAAGTAGTAGATGGTGTTTTAAATGTTATAATAATTTTCTAAATAGTTTTATTTTATTCTAATAAATAAAATTTGCTTAAATATTTAGTTACATTTTAATCATTTTGGTTAGAAATTCATCAATTTTTAGTTTTAAAAAATCAGTAATAAAATTATTTTTTTCTAAAATACTTCGGAATTCATCTCTTCATGGTAATCTCCCATCTTTTTACCTTCAAAAACCAATAATGCATTTTCTACAAAACCTTCAGAAATAGCATGTAAAATAGGTGTCTTCTCGTAAGGCTTTTCAGGAATTGCTACCTTTAATAGTACTGTGTAGAAGGATCCATAAT